ACAAAGACCCCCAATGAGATGGATTGGGCACAGTGGCAGCAGCCACTTAGGCACAGCAATGACTGTGAGGCTGGCCCAGGACCAGGCAGTGTTTCGTTCTGTTGTGCACAGGGTCACCATGTGTCAGTACTAACTGGATGGCACCTAACAACAACAACCCAAAGTAAATATAATGCAATCCCAATCCAGGTGGAAAAACTCATCACTTAACTTTACATGGAAAGGATAGAGACCCTGGATCAGCAAAGCATTATTTCAAAAGAAGAACCAAGTAAGCGGTGTCTCATGTCTGGGTCTTAAAATCTACTACACCACCTCAGTAGTAAAAACAAAACAAAACAAAAAACAAGTACAATGAAAGACACATAGATCAATGGAACAACTACAAACCAAGAAGTGTATCTGTTCACCTACAGTCAGTTGATTTTTGACAATGGACCAAAATACATTCAGTGGAGGAGAGAGAGTCTCTTCCACAAATGCTGCTGGCAAATTTGGAAACCCATTTGTAGAATAATAAAACAATGCCCATATCTCACACGATATACACAACTGAACTCACCGTGGATTAAAAACCTACGTGTAAAGCCTTGAACTATATTGATCATCAGGGTAAAATAGGGACAAACTTAGGCTCTCGGAGACATGGCATAAGTATACTATCAAACCTACCTCAAAACACACAAACAGAAGAGAGACAACCGGGACCTCCTACAATTAGACCTCTTATGTACATCAAAGGGTTTCACCAACTGTAAAAAGAGAACTCACGGACTGGGAAAAAATGTTTAGCAAGAACATATCAGACAAAGATCTACTCTCTAAAACATACAGAAGACTTGAATACCTCCACAATCAAAATGGGCAGAGGACAGACACTTCACCAAACACATTCAGGTGGCCAACAAATATATGAAAAAATACTCACCGTCATTAGCCTTTGTTATTAGGTGCCATCGAGTTGGTACCGACCCATAGCTACCTTATGCACAGCAGAATGAAACATTGCCCAGTCCTGGGCCAACCTCACTACTATTGCCATGCTTGAGTCCATCGATGCTGCCACTTGGCTAATCCATCTCGTTGGGGGTCTTCCTCTTTTTCTCTGACCCTCTACCTTACCAAACATGAGATCCTTCTCCAGCGTACTGCTCCCTCCTGACAATATGTCCTAAGTATGAGACACGAAGTTTGGCCATCTTGGCCTCTACGGAGCACTCTGGTTTCACTTCTTCCAACACGGATCTGTTGGTTCTTTTGGCAGCCCATGGCACTTTCAATATTCTCCTCCTACACCATAACTGAAAGGCATCAATTCTTCTACGGTTTTCCTTATTCACTGTCCAGCTTTCACATGCATATGAGGTTACTGAAAACACCATGGCTAATTAGCCTTTAAACAGATGCAAATCACACCAACAAGGACATATTATTTTATGCAATCATTAATATCAAAGTTCCAAAAAACAGAAAACAACAAATGCTGGCAACCAGGACCCTGTACACTGCTGGGGGTACTGTAAAATGGTGCAACCACTGTGGGAAACATATGGGGTTTCCTCAGAAAGTTGGAACTAGAAATACTCTATGACCTAGTCGTTCCTCTAGTTGGTATATCTCAAGAAATGAGAGCCGTGACATGAGTAGAGAAATACACAAGGTGTTCACTGCAGCTTTAGTCACAACAGCAGAAGGGCGGGGACAGCCGAAATGCTCACTGACAGAGAATGGTTCAACCAACTGTGGTACATTCGTACAATGGAATATTATGCAAATTTGATGAGTAACAATGAATCTATAAAACACCTCACAACACAGATGAATCTGGAGGACAGTCTGCTGAGTGAATTAGTCAATTACAAAAGGACAAGTATTGTATGAGACCCATTGTTGTTTTCTTGATAAAAATACAACAAGGAGAAGGCTGACAGAGGGAAGGTGAAGATAGTGGGAGATACAGGGAGGAATGCAGAAGTAAAAGTGAACGGAGGTGTATACGGTGAGCTGATGGGACATGGGAGGACCGCCGACATTGGAATGAAGCAAAGTGTACAGTCTGTTGAATGTGAAACTGACCATCTGCTCTGTAAACCTTTACTCAAGTCAAAATAAAAAGTTAATAAAAGGAAAAAAACAAAAATGCTACAGGGAAAGCAAATTCTAGCCCCAGGAGTAATATCACCAGCACTAACAACACAAAAACGCAGGAGGCGTAATCGGCCCGTGGCAAGGAACAGAGCAGGTGGGTACCGGGATCTGAGGAGCACAAAGGGCAGATCCACAGGGACTTCAGCACTGCAGCTGCAGAGGCCGTCAGGGAAGACAATCAGGAGAGCGCGTGGAGACATTACGGCTGGTTCCAGACCACGCAGTGACGCGCCCATTACAACAGACAGCTCCAGGGCTTTTCTGTTTCCGGGTGCCCATCACAGTGATGTGGGCCCTGGTGTAGTCCATGAAGTGTGCAACAGCAGGAGAAAGGCTGACATGGTGCAAGAATGTGACACGGAGACACAAAGTGAGCAAGGCTGTGGAAAACGGTGTGGGACGACCTGCTCACCACAGGGTTGTCACAAACCTTCCATTTGTAACGGCTCAATCAACCGACGTATGCTGTATCTAAATGCTCAGTGTGCTGACAAAGATAGGGCCACTCAGCAGCTCAGTGCTCACCTGTCTACCTGTGTAACAAGAAACTCAGGACAAAGTTCAGATTCAGGAGCAGAAGATGACTCACTACTCAAGGGCAGTGTGCACAGTCACAAATGTACAACGGGAATCCCTTACACTGCTCTCCATGAAGAACACCGACCTGCGGTCTACGGACGGCTCACGTTACCTTCCTGCTCTTCAAGTTCCGCCTGGATGTCCGTGAGCAAGGCCTCCAGTCTCTTCTGCTGGACAGCTGTGTAGTTGGCTGCTTCTCTCTCTTCTGCTCTTTCATCACGAAATATGTACAATCCCGATGAGGTTTTCTCCACCCACTGCAATCACGGTTTAAGCACAAACACAGGGTTGGGAGGAAATGGTCAGAATGGCTGTGTCAAAGAGAGGAATCAGAGTAAGCGTCCGGAAGACATCCTACCTGTATAGGGTATGCTCTCTGAATGATCACGTCAACACAGCCGACATTCCCTCCATCACTGAAGAGGGATGACAAGGGCAGGGGGAAAGGCCTGGGCTCAGGAAAGAAGCCAAGTTTGGTGTACCAACGAACAGGTCGTGTGCTGTTAGCAGAAATCTGGACACAGTGAAGAACAAAGCAGTTTAGATTCAATTCTATTACAAACTTCACAACATGTGTCATTCTTTAAGGACTATTTTAAAAATATTCACTTTCAAGTTCTCCTGGATTCTACTAAACAACCAACTGACTTGCAAACTACAGAGTAGCTCTCATGAGTACCGTGCTGCTTTAAAGCCCACCTCTGAGACCATGCAGTCAACATGGAGTGCAGAGCACTGATAAAAAAGGTAAGGAGGTCAAGGAAAGGGCACAGCTAGACGGGATACAGTGAGACACACTGTGGAAAATGTGACCAAGGCCACCGGACAATGTGTGCAGAAGCCTCATCTGTGGTGTCCACGTTCATAATCAAAAAACACCATCAAATATCACTTCTAAAAATTTTCAAGAAAGGAAACCAAATAAATCGTACAAAAGTGAAAATCTCAAAATATAGTACTTCTAAAAGAATTCATGTTTATATTGCCCCCAAAGCCTTGAGATGACTTAAATATTCTTATTAGAAACTGGATAAAAGAGGCTTCCATTTAAACACGATGAGTTAGTACATCTTTGGTGGTCCAGACCCCTCGTGAAGCCTGTGAGGACAGAGACATGCAGAGGACAGAGCAGTGCTGAGACTGATGACACCTGACCGGAACTACAGACATTTACACAACACACAACAGGGACCTGGAAAAGGAGTCCTGGTAGCACAATGATTAAGTGCTTGGCTTTCAGTTGGCAGTTCAAACCCACCAGTGGCTCCCATAAAGATGACAGCTTTGGAAACCTCCTGGAGCAGCCCCCGTCTGTCCTACAGGGTCACTGAGTCAGACTCTACTGGACGGCAGTGGGTTACAAGCCTGGCCGTGATGCTGAGTTCTGTACTCACACCAACGTTCAATTCTCACATTAACCCTAACGCATCTTATTCCCATCATACCTGCCCACAGTTCCTCAGCCAGCCTATTCTGGGATGACAACATGAAGCAAGCTCTACTTAGAAAACCACACAGGAATTGGAGCCGAGGGGCAGAAGGTGAGGTGGAAGAAGCGGAAGTGCTGTGTAACCACAGTCAGACTCCAAGCTCCCCGGGGGCTGTCCCCTCTCACTGTGTTTACTTCCTGTTAGGAGCCCTGGTGGTGCCGTGGTTAAACACTGGACTGCTAACTGAACAGTCGGTGGTCTAAAACCTCAGCAGCTCCAAAGCAGAAACACCTAGGGATCTATTGGCTCTACTTGGTCACGTGGGTGGCTAGGAGGCGGGGCTCGCTGGATATCAGTTGTTGTTGTTGTTGTTGTTAGGTGCCATCCAGTCAGTACCAACTCATAGTGACCCTATGCACAGCAGAATGAAACACTGCCAGATCCTGGGCCAACCTCACTACTGTTGCCATGCTT